CCAGTCAGCTCAGGCCCAGAGCGACAGAGAGGCTCCACGTGTGTCTTGCCGCTCGGCCTCCCCTGGGGGTGGGCGCTGGGCTCCACGGGGCCTCTCCTCACGTGGTGGTGAGACACCACTGAACCCTACACACTCCGCACTCCTGGCCCAGAAGAAAGAGAAAACACGAGAAAACACCCAGAGCCCGCACAGAAGGAAGATGACACATCTCTCTCCCAGACTCCTACAAGAGACCCAGGGCAGCTGGGCTGTGCTTCCCGGGCAGCACTTTACAGATGGGTAAACTGAGGCCAGAGCAGGGCTGGCATGTGGGCTCTTCCATCCCCACCCTCTTCCTCCATGCCCCCACCCCCAGCCCGGCTCCCCCGGCAGCCAGGCCGGGTCAGACTAGAAGGCATTTAGCCTCAGCTTCCTCTGTAAGGTGGAGATGATGACAGCCCGACCTCAGAGGTTGTTGTGAGATTAGACGGGCTGCAAGGAGGCAGTTTTCCCCCCGGGATGGCCAGGAAGGGCTTGTGGGGCCGGCCACAGCCCAAGAGAGGCCTCCCATCCCAAAGCCATTTCCTTCTCAATTCTCTTTTAATCCTTCTGCTTACGTCTGGAGGCAGGTCTTTTCTGGGTGCTGGCCTGCCTTTTTTGTTGTTGTTTTTTTAAAGATTTTATTTTTCCTTCTTCTCCCCAAAGCCCCCCGTACATAGTTGTATATATTTCAGTTGCGGGTCCTTCTAGTTGTGGCAGTGGGACGCTGCCTCACGTGGCCTGACGAGTGGCGTTAAGTCTGCGCCCAGGATCCGAACCAGTGAAACCCTGGGCTGCCGAAGCGGAGCACGCAAACTTAACCGCTCGGCCACGGGGCCGGCCTGTCCTTAAGCCCTCTCTCTGCCTGGTGAATCTCACTTGTTAACAAGGAGCGGGCGGGAGCGGCTCAGCCCTTAGGGGGGCAATGGCACCCCCCAGAGCTTTAGAATGTTGTTTCATTCTCATTTTTACTGTTGCTTCTATTCCAGGTGAGTGGCAGCAGGGTTCCATCCAGGGCAGTAATACTGTTTCCTCTTAAAATACATTTATTGGACAACAAAAGACCCCGAATACTCAAAGGAATCCTGAGAAAAAAGAACAAAGCTGGAGGTATCACATTCCGTGATTTCAAAATATACTACAAAGCCATGGTAACCAAAACAGAATGGTACTGGCACAAAAGCAGACGCACAGTTTGAGAGCCCAGAAATAAACCCACACATCTATGGACAGCTAAGTTTTGACAAGGAAGCCAAGAACATACAATGGAGAAAGGAAAGTCCCTTCAATAAATGGCGTTGGGGGGCTGGCCCCGTGGCCCAGTGGTTAAGTTCGCGCGCTCCACTGCAGGCGGCCCAGTGTTTCGTTGGTTCGAGTCCTGGGCGCGGACATGGCACTGCTCATCAGACCACGCTGGGGCAGCATCCCACATGCCACAACTAGGAGGACCCACAACGAAGAATATACACCTATGTACTGGGGGGCTTTGGGGAGAAAGAGGAAAAAATAAAATCTTTAAAAAATAAAAAATAAAAATAATTGGTGTTGGGAAAGCTGGACAGCCACATGCAAAAGAATGAAAATAGACCATTATCTTACACCATACACAAAAATTAACTCAAAATGGATTAAAGACTTGAATGTAAGACCTGAAACCATTAAACTTCTAGAAGAAAACATAGGGGGCCGGCCCTGTGGCTGAGTGGTTAAGTTCACGCGCTCCGCTTTGGCGGCCCAGGGTTTTGCCGGTTTGGATCGCGGGTGTGGATGTGGCACCACTCATCAGGCTATACTGATGTGGTGTCCCACATAACACAACTAGAAGGACCCACAACTAGAATATACAGGTATGTACTGGGGGGCTTTGTGGAGAAGAAGAAGAAGAAAAAAAAAAGAAGATTGGCAACAAATGTTAGCTCAGGTGCCAATCTTTAAAAAAAAAAGAAAACATAGGCAGTACGCTCTTTGACATCGGTCTTAGCAGCATAGTTTCAAGTACCCTGTCTGACCAGGCAAGGGAAACAATAGAAAAAACAAACAAATGGGACTACATCAAACTAAAAAGCTTCTGCACAGCAAAGGAAACCATCAACAAAACGAAAAGACAACCTGACAATTGGGAGAAGGTATTTGCAAACCATACATCTGATAAGGGGTTAATATCCAAAATATACAAAGAACTCTTATATCTCAACAACAAAAAACTAACAACCCAATTAAAAAATGGGCAAAAGATCTGAACAGACATTTCTCCAAAGAAGATATACGGATGGCCAACAGGCACATGAAAAGATGCTCAACATCATTAGCTATCAGGGAAATGCAAATCAAAACTTACAAGGAGATATCACCTCACTCCTGTCAGAATGGCTGTAATTAACAAGACAGGAAACAACAAGTGTTGGCGAGGATGTGGGGAGACAGGAGCCCTCATACACTGCTGGTGGGAGTGCAAACTGGTGCAGCCACTATGGAAAACAGTATGGAGATTCCTCAGAAAACTAAGAATAGAACTACCATACAATCCAGCTATTCCACTGCTGGGTATTTATCCAAAGAACTTGAAAACACTAATGCATAAAGATACAGGCACCTATGTTCAGTGGTTGGTGAACATGATGTAATCTACACAGAAATCGAAATATATAACAAATGTACACCTGAAATTTATATAATGTTATAAACCAATATTACTGCAAAAATAAAATAAAATAAAATACATCTATTGGAATGAAAAAGCCAATATAAAGAAAAAGTATTGTGAGCATTCCCAGTGGTGAAGAGGTACAGGTTCATTCATTCCACACACATTTGTTGAGTGCCCAGTTACTCTGTTCCAGATGCTGTTCCAGGAGGCAGACATAGCAGTGAACAAGTCAGCAAGCCTCCAAGGCCACGGGACAGCATCAGAATGAAGAGCATGGGAAGGAACGGGAGATCCTGCCCTGTGGAGCTCACCTTCTGGTGCAGGGGACAAAATAAAATAAATGCATAACTGAGACATACAGCACGTCACGTGGTGACAAGTGTATGGGGGAGATTAAGGAGGGAAGAGGGTGAGGTGTGCAGGACGGGCATGCCAGGTTTGAAATAAGGAGGTCAGGGAAGCCTCCTAGGAAGCTGACGCTGAAGCTTGAACCTGAAGGAGGTGGAGAGCACCTCGTGGATATGTGGGCAAGGCTATTCCAGGCGGAGGCACCTCAGAGCACACGCCCTGGAGCGGGTGAGAGCAGCCAGGAGGCCCCACCCGGCTGGGCAGAGTGGGCCGATGGAGAAGAAAGGGACGAGGTCCGAGGAAGGTGGGGGCACAACGAGGCCACTGGGGGAGCCCGTGAGGGTGGAGGAGGGATGTGGCCTGACCTCATTCTACCGTCATCTCTGGGGCTGCTGTTTGGACGGGGGAGTGGGGAGGCAGGGATACTGGTGAGAGGGGGTCCCTGCACTCAACCTGGGGAGTGGCAGGTGACTTGGATAAGGGGGTGGGGTGAGAAGCATCAGATTCTGGGCATATTTTCAAGGCGGGGCTGATAGGATTTGGTTGGCGTGGATGTGGGGTACGTCAGAGAAGAGAACATTTTTGGAAAATAGAGTTTTCCTTAACTGAGATGGGAAGAAGCAGGAGGACGGCCTGGGTACACCCGGATGGTGTCTGGAGCGATGGAAGGGAGGTCTCCGGTGGGCAGTTAGACGCGTGAGCTCAGGGAAGGCTGCAGGCTGCGGGCCATCTGGGTGTCATCAGCAGACGTCTCTGAGGCCACGGGACAGCATCAGGGTAAAGAGCGTGGAAAGGGGCGGGAGATGGAGAGCTGAGCACAGGCGTCCCAACTTTCAGAGGGTGGGGAGGGGGCCTGCAAAGGAGAATGGAGGGCTGGGGGAAGAGGCAGCGGGCAGCAGCGCCAAGTACTCCTGGCAGGACCAGTGAGACGAGGACAGTGACTCGGCATTGGGTCTAGTAACATGGACATCCCTGGGGACCAAAAATGACCGTTTTAGGAGATTGCAGTGGGGGGTGGGCAAGGGCCTGATGGGAGAGGTCTTAATGGGAGGAGAGAGACTGTGGACAGTGGGAGACTGCAGCCCCTTTGGCTGTAAAGGGAAGGAGAAAAGTCTGGCAGCAGTAACTGGGGTGGCGGTGGGGGGGGGGGGGGGAAGAGGAGTCAAAAGAGGGATTTTTGGGTTTTCGTGTTAGTTTCAAGACAGAAGCCACATCGTGAATGGATGGGAGTGATCCAGGGAGGGGGAGAGGGCAGAACTGCTGGATTTGGCCTGAAGAGCTGGGACAAGTGGAGGGGGTTTCAGGCCGGGTGGCCACGGTCAGCTGGGTTCCCGAGGGTAGGCTGGGGTGGTGCCATGTCAGGAGGTGGGCAGATGGGGAGTGGGAGCTGGCAAGAATTTTCCTCCAATTCCTTCATTCAAAGGATAATTATCGGGCACCTGCTAAGTGCCAGACTATTCTTGGGTGTTTTCCCCAAGTTTTGGTGCGTTTCCAAGTTTTCAGCGGTCCGGGCACTACTCATCAGCTAGCGAGAGGATGGGCGAGGAGCAGCGAGGACCACACAGCAAGTGTGCGGTGGACGGAGGAGAGTGAGGGGGCAGGAGGCGTCGGCAGTAAGGATACTTGGAAGTTGTGAAGATTCAAGCAAATAACCGAAATTCGGTAAAACGCTGGGTGACGCAGGCAAAGCATTTAGCACGGATCCCAGCTGGGGGTGGGGGGAGTTAATAAATGTATTCTGGGGGGGGGGGCATCAGGCAGGCCCGGAGTCAAAGGCCGACACTGCCGCTTCTCGGTTGCGGGTCGTGGAAGTGATTTAGCCGCTCTGAGCCTCAGGTTCTCATCCGTTCAATGGGGAGCTTGGGATGATGAACCCACGGAGCAGGCGGCGGGAGGCGCGGGGAGCGCGGCATACCTGTTGGCCCGCGCGCTGGTGGGGGAGTCGGGACCCAGCGGGGCGGCGGCGGGCGGTGCTGACCACGCCCCGGGCTGGAGGGCGGTGCTCCAGCCCTCTGTTCCCGAGCTCTCCCGCCGCCACCGCCGCCCGCGGGGCCCGCTGGTGCGCCGCCCGCCGCCGCGGGAGCCAGAGGTACGGGGGGCTGCGCGCAGGGCGCGGCGGGCGGGGGCGCCTGGGCACCGGGGGGGAGGGCGCTGCGGAGGGGCGGGCAGGCTCGGGCCACCTGTTCCGGAGGGACCTTCGTGTGCCTCCCCGTGACTGCGCCCCGAAGTTGAGCCCCGGCCCGCGAGGGGAGTGCGCCCGCCCCGGAGCCCTCGGGGCAGCCCCGCCCGGCCCGGGGCCGCGGTGGGAGGGGGCGACCGCGGGGGCGAGAGCGGGGTCCGAGTGCCGGCTTCGCCTGCGCCGCGCTGCGACCTTGGGCGAGTCGCGCCGCCGTGTCTGGGGTCGCGGGATCGTCGCGGGAGGCCTCGCCGCCCGGCCCTGCTCGCCCCGGGCCCCCAGGGGTGCGGCCGGGGAGCGGCCGCCGGAAAGGAGGCAGCCGGGGGCCGGAGGCGTCCCTCGGGGCCTTTGGGGATGCTGAGGCTTTGGACGTGCCGAGGAGGGGGAGGGCCCTCCAGTTGGAGGAGCGGCCCGGCTCCGCGCTGGGAAGTCGGACAGTCGGGCCCCGGCGCTCCCTCTCCGGGATCCGGATCCGCGCACGACCCCTCCTTCCGGCGTCCTCCTCTCCCTCCCTCTTCTGCAGATGCGCAGGGTTGAGGCTGAGTGGGCGCACCAGGTGCTTGGGAGGTCCAGTCTCAGAGTCCGCTCCCTTTCACAGCTAGGAGCGTCCCCGTGCCTCAGTTTCCTCATCTGACCCCCGGGGGTGGAAGTTCCCACCTCCTTGCCAGACTCAGCTGAGCCTCTGGCTCCCAGAGGGTTAAAAGCCGTCTCCCCTGCACCCACTCCCTCCCAGGAGGACACCCTTCCTGTCTCCTCCAATACTGAGTGATCCATCACTGCTCTCTGCGGGGCTCTGGGGTCGCCGAAGGCCATTTCTCCCATCATTGATCAAATACCCGGAGCACCTGGTGTGCACCCACGCTGGCCCTCCTCTTCTCCAGCTGCCCAAGGCCTCCCCCTTTGTCGCCTCTTCTCAAAGAAGGGGAGCCACCCTGCCCAGGGTGACATAGCAAGGCCCAGGCTGGCCATGCCTGCACCCCGTGTCCCACAGCTGGGATCCCCTAGGGGGAGTCCCCAAATCAGGCCCAGATACAAAAGAAAAGAAGGGGAGAGTCGGGATGGAATCCTCTCTGTTCAGTTTCCTCCCAAACATGTTTCTAATGCCCCGAGGGCCTGCGCCTGCTTGTCTCCTAGGACAGCTCAGCATTAGAGGACAAACTCTGAAATGGAACTTCGCCTTAAAAAGGTGTTTTGTTTCCTTGTTCCCATCAAAGCCCTCTAGCCGCCTGGGTTAGTGGGGTTGTTCCCAGTGTGTGTGAGATGGTCCCAGGGCACCTGTGTGTGGCAGAGTTGGCAGAATCTTTAAGCTTACTGGGAACGTCGGGAGGCTGTGACCCACCACATCGCCACATCAGCCCCAGCCAGCAACTCCCAAACCCCCCTGGCCATGGGGGCCCCAGGTCCAGATCTCCAAGTACCCAGGGCAGCAGAGGATGCAGATCTGAGTTGGGACCAGGGCAGAGAGAGACAAGGTGGCTGCCAGGGACATTTGCGGCAAGACTGGAAGAAGGGACCGACGGGAAAGAGAAGCTTGATCCCCCCCTCCCCCGAAGCTGCTGGTCCTCCTGGTTCTTGCTGCTGGGGGATGGGGTGGATGGCTCCTCCCTCCGCCTGGCCAGCCAGGCTCTGCCCCGCTGTGCTCTCCGGAATGCACTTCCTCCCCATCAGGTGCCTCCTAGGTGTGCTCTCCCTCCTGTTGATTGCCCTGCATGTTCCCTGTCTGCCTCCCTCTCTCCTGATCGGAGGGAGGGAGCCTTGCCTGAAGCCCAGTGCTGGCCCTTAGTGAGCACAAAGTAGGTGTTCACTACACGTTGCTTCAATGAATTAACTATGAAAAAAAATCCCATATTCGCATCGCTTGGAGATAACTATTGTTAAAACTTGCCCTTTTTTTCCCCATACTTTTTAAAAATACATATTTTTTTACCTATTTTAAATATCTTGTCTATATAAGTTTTTCAAATTCCTCACCTCTCCCCAACATTATTTTTTATATTTTTCAATGCTTACATACTGTTGCATCATATTTAGTTTAGGGATTTCATTTGACAGGGCTTTTTTTTTTTTAATATTTGGCTCTTTTAGATAATGTTACATTGAATTTATGTATAAATTTTATAAATTTATATGTTGCCGGATTTTTCCTGGAAAGAGAATTAGCTGGGAGTCAGTGTCTACGAGACCTCGAGAAGGGCTCTACCTGGAGCCACTGGCTTTCCCGGGGAACTGGGTGGTTGCACGCGTCCTCGGCTGTGAGCACGCGTTTCTTGTTATTTTCTAGAAATGAAATTGCTAAGTCGAAGAGTATGAGCACCTGGGATCTTTGTGTAGTTCTTTCCTCCCAATTTTATTGAGATATAATCGGCGTACAGCACTGTATAAGTTGAAGGTGTGCAGCATAATGATTTGGCTTATGTATACTGTGAAATGATTACCACAGTATGTGTGTTTCTTACTTGTTTGAGCTCATCAGTGAAGTATCTGCCCCTTGTCTGATCTCTTTATGGCAAACGTCTTCTCCCAGGTTATCCTTTGGCTTTTATTTTTGCTGCTGCTGGTGTGTGTTTTTGAGGAGCTCTTCTTCTTTTACTTTGTGTGTGTGCTTTTTGATAAGGGAGAATTGGCTGTGTTTATGGGAAAGAACCAGAAGAGGGAGCGGTTGAGGCCCCTCAGGAGGGGCGGGTCGAAAGACTGAGATCCCAGGGGATGCAGAGGTGGGAGGGGTCCGGCTCTGGTGCAGAGGGACCTTCTGCATGGTGAGGACAGGCGCAGAGGGAGGGGGCTCAGAGGGCGCCTTATGAATTGGCTTTGATCCTCGTAGAGGGGGAGGTGGAAGAGCGGCACTGGAGAGACTGGGCTCCAGCCCCCACGTCCCCAGCTGCCTGTGCTGTTGGCTGGCCTGTTCCCCTGGAGTCCTCCCTGCTTCCCTGGGAGGGAGCAGGTGTTGTCACCCCCACTGACAGACTCCTGGAGGGTGGGGGAGTGCCTTATTCAAGGCCAGTCAGCCGATGGGCGGCAGGGCTAGTTCAGAGTAGGCCCCCCTCGCTGGCCGCATGCCCTTGCGAACCGCCTTCCTGTCCTAGCCTCCATTTCTAGTCCATATCTGGAAGCAGCATCCCTCTTCCTCCCTCTGGTACTTGGGAGTGAACGTCCCTTCCTCTTCTGTCTGCCTCTCTTTGTCTTCTGGCTACACAGACAGACCCTAGTGGGCTCAGGAGCTTCCGGCAGAAGTGGAGTTGGCCATGGGATTAGGAGAACCCGCTTCCCGTCCAGGCCGGTGCCCACACTCTCACCCACAGGAGCCCACTCTAGCTGGAACACCCAGCCTTCTGCATGTCACACCTGTGCAAAGTCTGAGCTGGGCAACCGGGAGCGAGGAGGACCGGCACCTGGGGGTGAAACAGGAAAAGGGGTCTTCACATCCTATCAACAGGCCTGATCGGAAAGAGCAGAAGCCACATAGGTATAGACACAGTTACAGATACTGTCCTGGATAAAGACACAGCCCGGGAGGCTCCCCCCGACCCCCGATCCCCCGCCCTCCAGTTGTGTACAGTCCTCATTTGCTCCTTCCTGGTGGTCGCCAAGGCAACGCCCTGAGTTGGGGGTGAGCTTCCACCGATTGAGCCTCCATAGGGGCCAGACACCGAGTTACCTGATCTCATGTCACGCTGTCTGCCTCCCATTTTACAGATGAGGACACTGAGACTCAGAGTCAAGCTCCTCTCCTTTCTCACAGTGAGTGGGGTTTAGCCCCCAGCCCCAGTGCATCCCGGGTGAACTAGGCTGGGCCACGGGCAGACTCCTTTCACCTTGCAAAAGGTGTTAGAATCCTAGCTGTGCCTCAGTTTCCTTAGCTATTAAACTGTAGTTCATAATAAGAGGATTACACTGGGAGGATTAACCGAGTTACTGCCTGAAAACCACTTTGACCAGTGGCTGTGCACGACGAGCCCTCAGAAAATACAAACCATGGAGCTCCTTGCCTCACAGGGAGCTTTTAATAAACGTGACCTCAGCTGCACCCACCCCTCCCGGGAGGGAGGGGTGGGGGGGAGAATGGGGGAAGGCGGGCACACCCTGACGGGGAGGGAGCGTGGGACATTTAAAACCTTCCTGGAGGCAAGTTAGCGGTCTGTATCTAAAACCTTAAATTACATTCCCTTTGACCCAAGAGGCTCATTTCTAGGAAGCAGTCTGTAGAAGTAACTGAGCATGCGCTGAAAGATAGAAGAGCGAAGGTCTTTACCACGGTGCTGTCTACAAGAGCAAAGAGATGAAGACCATGTTTCCAGTAATCAAAACGGGAGTGGGCAAAGCCAGGGATGGGGCTGCTGAATGAGAGATACAATGTAGCCCTGGAAAGCAGGGCGTGGAGCTGTGTTTATTGACACAACAGGAAGGGCTTAGGTGTATTTTCAAACAGCTTTATTCAGGTCTGATTTACACATCGCTGCGTGCATGCAGGTCGCTAGTTTTAGGAAATGTGTACAGTTCTGCGACCACCATTGCCACGCAGCTTTAGAGCCCGGGGGCCCAGCATATTTTTAAGTGAAAAATAAAGCAAGGTGTAGGACAGCCAGTAATGGGATTTCCTCTTGCGTGTGTCCTGTCTTCGGCTCTGTGTAAATAAACACTGCTCCCTGGGAAGGGGGCATCAGAAAACGACCGGAAAGAATAGACCAAGATGCTGACAGGGTACCCTCTGGGCCATGGTCGCGGGAAGGCTGGCCATGTCACCTGCCCCTGCCTCAAGTCTTCAGTGACTCCACACCGTCTTCAAGATATAAAGCAAAGCGGGAGGTGTCGCTGCCAGGAGGTGACTGGACCCCTACACACACACACACACACACACACACACACACACACACACACAGACACAACCCCTCTCCTACGGCTGGAGCAGACAGCCCGACCAAGTGTGATCCCATCGCCAGTTGGCTCAATGTTCATGTGCACAAATACATAGACAGTAGTCAAAGGTATGAAGACAGAACTAAAATCACCGTAACCTTTGCAGCCGGGAATAAAACCCTGGTAGCATTTTGGTGGATTCCTGTCAAATGGCTGCTCTTCTTACCTGTGATGGTTCCGAGGAAGCTGGGCGGGGCGGGTGGAGGGACTTCTTGGGAAGAGGGAAGCTCGTATTGCAGAAGCTCAGAATCCCCAGAACCTGGTGAGTTTAAGCAACAGAGAGGGATTGACTTTCCTTTCAAGTTTGTACCATCGTTTTTAAAGGCATTGAGAGTATTGGGATGGTTTTCCTTTATCCCTCGTCACTCAGTCAGTCATCAAAGATTTATGGTGGGCCTGCTTTGTGCCAGGCCCTCCCTAATGTAACGTCATTTACGATCTCAGGCAGGATGGGCAGCGTCTAGCACAGTGCCCACATTCTTCTGTTCCCACTTTACTCCAGGGCCAAATTCACCCTGGTCATTCCCATCGGGACTCACCCTGGGGACTCCGAGGGTCGGCCCGTGCTCCAGGCTGTAGGCGAGGCCCAGAGTTTGGGGTGAGGCTGCTCACACACCCACTCATTTGGAAGGTAGCCGCGAGCACCTGCTGTGTACCCGTGTGTCCAGCACTGGGGGCACAGCCCACAGCCCGCAGTGGGAGCTGTGCTGAAATCCAGGCGACTTCCTGGACGTGGCCCACTCTGCTCGCCTAGGTCAGGAGAGACTCACAGAGGAAAGAGGGTCTGGGACTTGCAGGCACACACAGCTGGGTGCAGATCCTGCCTCCCATGCGGCATTGGGACGGTCGCCTCTCCTCTCTGCTCCTTAGTTTTCTCGGTTGTAAAATGGGGGCACAGTGGCAGACACGAGGACAAAATAAAGTAGAGCCTGAGCAGAGCTTGGCAGGGTGCAACTCCTCCTCCGTGTGGCGGTCAGGAAGTCCCTGGGCAGGGGAGGGTAGAGGGACAGTTCACAAAGGGGAGAGAGTGTTTTGCAGAAACCTGGAGTTCCTGGAGCCTGGTGGCTCGAGCAATCTGGCAGAGGTCAGCTTGGCCCGTCTGAAAGTTGTGGCGGCCTGGAGAGGGACAGGGCCTGACAGGAGGGTGCCCACAGCCCTCAGCATTGTGGGATGTGGGGACCTGGGCGGAGGCTGAGGCTGGCAGCCAGGGAGGAGGCTGGGGTGATGGGTCCCAGGACAGAGAGAGAGACAGACAGATGGAGAGACCCCCAGGGCTGTTGCCGTGGGGCTGACGAGGGAGGGAGAGACGTGTCAGCCCTCGCCCTGCCCCACGCCTCCCCCTCGCGATTATCACCACAGTCTGCTTTCTTGTTGACACACGTCCCCTGTGGGTTAGTCTCAAAAAGCAGCCAGATCTTAAAGATCTCTTTAAGACGTAAGTCACACCATAGCCCTTTCCTCCTCGAAATCTCCCAGTCAGAAAGACAAGTCCTTCTGGTGGCCCTCAAAGCCCCACATGGCCTGGACCCCCCATTATCTCTCTGACCTCCTCTCCTGACACCTTTATCCTCCCACCTTGCTTACCCTGCCTTTCCATCAGCACCCCAGGCACATGTGCCCCAAGGCCTTTGCACTCGCTGATTGCCCTCCCTGGACATGCTTTCCCAAGATAGCCCTACAGCTTGCTGTCCTTCAGGTCTTGGGACAAATGTCAGCTTTTCAGAGAGGCCATCCCTGTATGAAGTAGCACCCCTGCCCCCTAGTCCTCCTAGTGCAGTTTTCCTGCTGCATTTTTCTCAGTAGCACGTGTCACTGCCGAATGTATTTCTTCACTTGTTAATTTTCTCCCACTGGAGTGTCCACTGCATGAAGCCAAAGGCTCTGTCTGCTTTGTTCACTGCGGTGTGTAGTTCCAGACCTTGGAGTGGGGCCTGGCACGTGGTAGGTGCTCGCGCATTTGTTGAGTGACTGATTGAGGTGCTGTGAGTGATGCTGAGGGCTGTGAGTGATGCTGAGTGTTAGGTTGAGCAGGAACTCTCTTCTCCGTGAATTGCCATCTCTGACCTCATGATCTGTCTGTGCCCTTGGCCTGGAACCAAGGGGCAGGTGGCCCTGAGAGACCCTAGAGAGGTCACTGAGGGCTACCTCTGATGGAGTGGACAGAACCGTGCCGGAGAGACCAGAATCGGAAGGTCTTTCTAGAAGCGTCCTTAGACATTGTCTTTTCCAAGCTCTTTATTTTACAGAGGAAGACACTGAACTTAGAATCGGGGTGGGGGGTGGGGGGAGTCGTAGTCCAAGGTCACAGAACAAGTGTGTAGAAGATAGAAACCAGGTCCCTTGCTTGGGCAACATCCGCTTAGCAAAGGACTGTTGAGGAGAACGCTCAGTATTGGCAATGCTGTGGGTTTTTGGGAGAGGGGGTGGCACTCTCTTTTGCTGCTGGTTATTTTTCATCTTTAATACAGTAAAAAAGGAGAAAGTGAGGCAGCACGGGAATTTTCTCCCACGTAGAGTGAACTCAGGACTCCTCAGTCAGGTCGCAATTTCTAGATGCCTTTTCCGTGAACATTTCATTTGCAGGTGTGGTTTTCTCCAATGGGGAGTTTTGCCGGCTCCTCGTGCCTCTGTGGTCTCTGGGCACAGCAAGTGACAACACAGGGAGCTTGTCCACACCCAGCCACGCTGGTGCCACGAGAGGTCCTGGTGTGGGCAGACATGTGCCCAGAGAGCAAATGTGTAGGGGTCCAGACTCAGGGTGACATTGCTCCCTGAACTGAACATAAAGCTCAGGAGGGTGACTTCACCCTGCCCCTGAGGAGCCGACCCCAGGCCCCCTGGTCTTCAGTCCAGCCTCCAGTGTCAAGCGCTAGTGCCCCGGGAGGAAGGGACGCCCTCAGGAAAGGGTGGAGGGTCTGAGACTTGGGGGCTGGCTAGCTGGGTACAAATCCTCTCTCTCACGGTTAGGAGCCACGCAGCGTTGGGACAGTCAGCTTCCTCTCTGGGGACCAGCGGATACTCAGGTGCTTTCATAGGAAGAGTCAGAGGCATGTGGACTTATTTTGTCCCCTCGTATCCATCGCGCTTTCTAATAGTTGCAATCAGTCACACATGGTTGAAAGTTTGCAAATGGCATCTGCCTGGGTGAGTGACCACGTTTCATCCTGGCTTTTGGGGCAGTTTAGGGATCATATACTCATTTGTTCAGAAAATATGTATTGAGCACCTGCTGTGTGCTAGAGTCCGTGCTGGGCACAAGGGACAAGACCAGGAGTAAAAGCAGCCTTGGTCCCTGCCCTCCAGGAGCTGACAGTGTTTTCCGTGGTATCTATGTCCTTGTGCTTTTAACCAGTCCCTTCAAGAAAGACCTTGGGTTGTTTCTAATCTTTTGCAATTGCGGACAAAGCTGCGACCCATACAAACGGCATTTGTATGTGGGATAAATTCGCAGAGTGGAGTTGCCTGGGGAAAGGGCAATATCTGTAATCCTAATGGATGTTCTCTTGCCCTCCACCACAGGGGTAGGACCATCGGGCATGCCTGCCAGCGGCGTGTGGGCGCGCCTGTTTCCTCACAGCCTTGTCAGGAGAAGGTGTTGGCGAAGTTTTGGATTTTTGCCAATCTGACAGGTGAGAGATGCTGAGTATTTCAATTTCCATTTCCCTTACTTACAAAAGATCGACAGTCTTGCTTACATGTTTAAGAGTCATTTTTTGCATGTATGTAAATTGTCCTTGGCCCACTTTCTTTTGGATTGTTGGTCTTTTTCTCCTTGAATTCTGGGAGCTCTTTATATATTAGGAAAATTAGACCTTTGGGATCTAGGGGCACAAAAGTTATCCCAACTTGTCATTTCTCTTTTGACTTTCTTTTTCTTTTAAGAGACCATTTAATGTTGTTTTTCCCTGAGGAAGATTCGCCCTGAGCTAACATCTATTGCCACTCTTCCTCTTTTTTTTCTTTTCCCTCCCCAAACTCAGTACATAGTTGTATATTCTAGTTGTATGTCCTTCTAGTTCTTTTATGTGAGCTGCTGCCACAGCATGACTACTGACAGACAAGTGGTGTGGTTCTGTGCCCGGGAACCTGACCTGGACCACCAAAGTAGAGCGTGCTGAACTTTAACCACTAGGCTGTCAGAGCTGGTTCTATTTTGACTTTCTTTTTTTTTTTCCTTTTTCTCCCCAAAGCACCCCCGTACATGGTTGTATATTCTTCGTTGTGGGTCCTTCTAGTTGTGGTATGTGGGACGCTGCCTCAGCGTGGTTTGACGAGCAGTGCCATGTCCGCACCCAGGATTCGAACCAACGAAACACTGGGCCGCCTGCAGTGGAGCGCACGAACTTAACCACTCGGCCACGGGGCCAGCCCTATTTTGACTTTCTTGATGGTGTTTTGGGGGAAGGCATGGGGAAGTTTGTTTTTGCCAGGAGTCAAGTTTATTCATCTTTTCTTTTATAGCTTCTAGATTTCGTACATAATTGAGAAAACTTTCCCAACTCTAAGGTTATACAGGAATTTGCCCAAGTTTTGTTCTAAACTTTTATGTGTTTTATTATTACATTTGGAGTTTATCCTGGGGCATCTTCCAAGATGTGAACCCAGCTGCTGCTTTTTCCCTAGCAGCCACTCTGCTTGGCCACCACCTGTATTAAAAGACCCATTCTGCCTTACAGATTGGAGATGCTGCCTTTACTGGATGTGCAAGTACCGTATTATTTCTGTGATGTCTTTTGTTTCATTGCCCTGTGTGTTCACATGCTAAGACTATGTTGTTTTAATTATTGGACTATGTTGTTTTAATTATTGGAATTTTATAGTATGTTTTAATACCTAAAAGGCCAGTTCTTCCTCATTTGTTCCTCTTTTTCAGTGTTTTCATGTAGGTCCTTGCTTGTTTTTCTATATGAACTTTAGAATCGATTTGTTGAATTCCAGAATCCTGTACAGTTTATGAATTGGCTTAGAGAAAATTGACGTCTTTATGAAGCTGAATCTTCTATCCAAAAATGTCCTTCCATTTGTTTGAGTTTATTTTGTGTTCTTCAGGGGCTTTGAAATTTTGCTCACAGGATTTTGAACATCTTGTTTTAAGTTGAAACCTAAGTATTGTGGTGGTGGTGGTGGTGGTTGTCAGTGGGGTCTTCTCTTTTGTTATATCTTCTGCCACTAACTGCTATTGTGTGTATACTTAAGTGTGGTGTGTGTTGTGTCCTACCACTTCCTAGTATTCTTGTGTTATTTGCAGTTTTTCAATAGTTTCCCTTGACTTTTCCAGGTATTCAATAGTATCATGAAGACAGCAATAGCTTTAACAATTTCTCTTCAGTTTTTATGCCTCTAATTTCTTTCCCTTGTCAAATTGCTTTCATGAATCCCTTCAGTATGAGTGATGGTGACAGACAGAAACCTGTGTCTTTTTCCTGCTTTCAGCAAGAGGACCCCCCTGTGTGGAGCCAAATACTCAGACTTCTCTGAGTGTGAAGCTGGCTCCTCGCTTTGGTGTTGGTATATACAATTTGTCAAGGAAATGTCCATTGCTTCCTAATTTATCCAGGAAGAGTGTTAGAAATTTAGTTCATTTTTTTTTGGCATCGCTGTGAATTACCATATGATTTTTCTTCTTATATCTATGAATACGGTGAATTATATTAATGATTGCCTAATATCGAACCATCCTTGCATTCTGGGAATAAACCTGACTTGGTTTTGATATTTTATTCTTGTAATCTACTGCTGGATTCTATTTGCTTATGCTTTATTTAGGATTTTTACAATAATATGCATAAGTGATATTGATCAGTAGGGTATCTTGTGCAATCTTTGTCAGGTTTTCGTATCTATGTAATACTTAAGAATTTTTTTTAAAGTTTTCCTTTGTATATTTTGCTATTTAACACTTTAAAAATCATTGAAGTTTTCTGTTATTTAAGTTTGCTGAAATTCGCCTCTAAAAATGTCTTTCCCTGGTGCTTTTGGGTTTTTTTCTAAATTTATGTATGTAAGTATGTGAGGAAGATTGTTGCTGAGCTAACATCCATGCCTATCTTCCTCTATTTTGTATGTAGGACGCCACCACAGCATGGCTGATGAGTGGTGTGTAGGTGCACACCTGGGATCTGAACCCCCGAACCCTGGGCTGCCAAAGCAGATCCTGCAAACTTAACCACTACGCCGCCAGGCCAGCCCGTGCTTTTGTTTCTTAATGATCTTTTATAGTTCTGTTTCTTGTGTGAAAGTTGGCCTGTCTAGACTTTCTCTTCTGAGAACAGTCTTGATTTATTTGTCTAGAAATTATTTTTTTCAGGTTTTAAATTTTATTTGCAAAGTACTATCTTATGATTAAATGTTTTTCTCTCTTTGCTTCATTGGTTACTTTCCCATTTGGCATTTCTTAGTCTGCACTGGGTGCTCTCTCTCCATCCCCCCCTCCCTTTTTTTCTTAATTAGGTTAATGGTGATTTATGTTTTCTTGAATTTTTTCCAAAGAGCCAGCTTTTGCCTTATTTCTTAGTTCTACTGCTTATCTGTTTCCTAACTTATTTCTGCTTTAATCTTTATTCTTCCCTATTCTTCCTGTTTATTTTGTGGTTCTATTTCTAACATTTTTAACCTAGTGCTTATTTATTTATTTTTATCTGTCCTGTTTTATTTGTTACATGTTTTGGAGGCTGCAAATATTCTTCTCTCTCTGCAGCTGTAGCCTATAGATTCAGACTTGTGGTGTTTTGATTATGGTTGTTTTCTATAAATCCTACAAATTCAGTTTGTATTTTCCTCTTTCAGTCAAGAATTGCCCAAGAGAAGTGGGTTTTTAAAAAAAATTTCCTGACTTTTAAATTAATTTCTAGTCATCCTGCCTTGTGATTATAAACTATCTGTATTTTTTATATTTTTGGATCTTGTCAAGGTTTTCAATATTCATGAATGTTCCGTCAGCTTTTGAAAAGAAAGTGCATTACCTATTATTAGGATAGAGAGTTTGACATAGCACAGTACCACATTGGTTCTTTTATTTAGGTCTTCTGAATTCTTATTTATGTTTGCTCTACCTGTTTCTTGGGCTGAGAGATGTGAATTAAAATCTCTTATTAGTGTGTTTCAATCTATTTATCCTAGTCTCCCTGTAATTTCTTCTTCCTGAAAATTGCTGCAGTGTTGTTTGCCGCATTGTGAACTATACCATTTAGCATTATAAGTGGCCCTTCTTTGGCTCACTTAGTGATGTGTGGCTTGAGTTCTCCTTGTCCAATATTAAGATTATGGCCCAGCTTTTTGTTTTTGTTTGTATTTGTCTTTATACTTTTGCTCATTCTTTTACTTTTAACCATTCTAGAATTCTTTGTTTGACGTACGTCTCTTGAATACAGGATAGAATTGGGTTTTGCTTGGGATCTAAACTAAAAATTTTTTTCTTTGTAAACATAAGTGAGTTAAACTTGTATACATAGAGAGAGAGAGATAGATAAGACAGATGGTTTGGTCCTCTTTCTGTCATGTTGTGTGTGTATGCACAGATGCATGTCTTTGTGCCTGTGGAAGGCTGTATTCTTTATTCTTTCAGTCTGTGGTCTGTTTGCTTTGCAGTTTAAAAAAACTGTAGTCCTTCCGATGTTTAGGAAAGCTCCTACTTTTGTTCTAGTGGCTACATTTATATTTGTACCTTCATATAATCCTCTTAGTCCTTTCTTTAGACAGTATCTACTGTTTCTCTTCTAAGAACAAAAGCAGATGTCACTTGTTTCCTCTTCCTCTGTCTTCCCCTTCCTCTTGTCACTGCACCATTTCAGCTGCTACCCTATCGGGTGGTTAGGCTTATATTCTTCTCCTTCTGATGCCTCTAGAAGTTCTCGATCCTGTGATACGCATGACAGTTGCCATTGCCTACTGACACAGTGACATGAAAACCTGAAGAAGAGATGTCAGCAGCTTAGAAGAAAGTTCTGGAGATGATAATGAAGCGCCCTTTTAAGAAATGCTGCATCACCGTGCTTGATGGCGCACGAGATGGTGCTGTGTGGGAAGACGCAGCCATCAGTCAATGAGTTGAAGTCATACAGAAGAGTTGAAGTTTCTGTGATGAAGTTTCAGGAGCATCTTACCCAATTTATTTCACTTATTTTCCTCCTTAGGTAGGCACAAGCATGAGAGGTGATTTAAAAATCTGACTGGACAATTCTTTCAAAATAAAAATTCTACATAATAAGAAAGCAAAGTGACATCATTTAATTGGCAGCTTTTTAATTTTTCAGTGGTACATTACATAATGATGCATCTTATTAGATTCAATACAATAGGGAAGCATAAGCCTCATTATTGCCACCTGTGTACTTTAAATATGCTCTAACTTTTACTATTTGATGTTTTAGGTTTTACCCCGCGCGATTAAAGGTGAGGCCAGTGTGAGCTTGTCCACTTTCCACCTTCATTCTCCCTTGCCTACCAAGTTTTTGTTAGTTGTATCATTTCTGCATTATCTGACTAGATAACGTTTTCATTGCTTTCCGTCATCCTTATTCATAGTTTTTTTTCCCCTGGATCTGCAGTTAAATATATTCACTCCTAAAACTGAAGTTATTCCAGGCAGCATTTGGTTGGCTGGCACTTATTCCTCAGTTTTCCTCAAGAA